ATAGTTTTCAAAAGTTTTTCTTTTGCCCCCCCCCCCCACTCCACAAAGTGAAAAAATGTGTTTTTTTCATCGTCAATTAAATAATCTATATGATTGCTTCAATTTTTAAAGTGATGCAGAATTGAAAAGTACTTATTATCCTGTAGATGCTACGTGACAATTTTGTACAGAGCGATTCACTGCATTGAGATGACAATACATATGCTAATATTTCATAGTGTGTAATATCTATTAGATTAAGTATACATTCCATTTCACCATTGATTTGTCTAAATTAAAAATAATAAATACAATGCCGTTCAATTATGTACTGTTCAATCACGAAATTTGCTTATACGTACACGTGTACTTATGTATGTTGATGTCAAACAGAACGTGTGCGTAAATGTTACACGTACACGTTGTTACGTTACTTGTAACAAAACCTCTCTATTCTTTATAGCTTGAAGGTTTCTGCGTTGGGAATAAAAGAGAAAAAAAATGCATTCACGTTGATTCAATCCTCCTTTAATCAAAATTTTGAATCTCTTTTCAGTTTGATTTTTTAAGTTTTTTTCCTGAATCGGACGGAAGACCCCTCGTTGCTCGCAACGAGATCGCATCTAGTTTGAATTATTATTATTTAACTGCACATTCCTACATTACAGTACACAGGCTGGGTTTGTACAGCTTAGGTGGTACCTAAATTACATTTGATAGGACGTACATATTAGACATAAAATGCCTTAAAAATAACTTCTCACAAACAAACAAAAAAAAAGAAAGAAAGAAAAAGAAAGCGGGGACCACAATTCATCAATATTGTATGATTTTTTCTTTAATACAATGCTTATTATTTTTTTTGCTGTTAAATTTTAAGTCATAAGGTTTAATTTAGAACCTCCGCCCATGCTGCAGCCGATATTTCGTTTGTAGTTTTTTTTTCGTTAAACCTAAAGCTATTGTTACGCATCTGAGAAAAGAGTTTAATCGTCAAAAAAATAAAATGGGGGGGGGGGTAATATACTAAATTACTGTGGCTTCAATGTCAAATCATGTACCCTCCCCTTTTAGAGGATAGGCTGATGCCACTCATAAAATACTGAACTAGCCAAAACCTGGTAAGCACTGTGGTCCATGGATTTCTTGCTTGATGTCTTATTTATTCATTTATTTTTTAAAGGTTATCGATGCCAATTTTTTTTTTCTCTTACGTCATAATGATTGAACAAACAAAGAAGGATTCATCATCGATGTTTGCCCTCATTCTACCACTAGGAGAAAATAATTTAGACATACTTAAATAATCTACATTACATAAGAGGGCTTACATATAAATTGTCCAATCATGGTTGTGTGGTTGTTAGGATTTTTTTTCCTAAATATCCTTTGGAAAAAAATTGAAAGTTAATTGAGGCCCAACCCAACTTGCAAGGGTCATGATTTGAAAAAAAGCATATATTCACACAAAGATTGTCTACATACGAGTTTAATTTTTCAAAAGTTTTAAAAATTTCCCCCAAATTTTTCTTTGTAACAAATTATCGGTTCTTATGGCTCCGTCCTATCCCGGTTTTGGGGTGGAGGGGTGGGGTGGGGTGGGGTTTATGATTTGAACGAACTTCTTTCTACACTACCTTAGGATGCTTAATTCAATTTATGAAAAATCATGTCTTGGCTCCTCTTGAGAAGACCTTTAAAGATTCTTCCTTTATATTCCTATTTAAAAATCTGATCGACCCTTGTGGTCCCGCCTTAACCGGGGGGGGGGGGGGGGGGGGTTGATTTAAACAAACATATTTTCACTACCTGAGGGTTATCTTATGTAGTTTATCTTTTCTGGCACAGTAGTGATTGAGAAGAAGATTCTTAAATTATGCCACTAAATTTTGACTATTTGTAGATTTATCTTCTCTTGAAATACGCTTTGTCCCTTTATTTAAAAAAAAAAATGAATTCCATTCACCCAAGAATGCTTTGTGGTAAGTTAAAATTAGCCCATTACTTTTTTTTTTAAGTATATATCAACTTTTCTAAAAAAAAAAAAAATGAACTAAATGCCTCCCTAAAAAGATGGGTTTCAATATTTTTTTTGTGTGCACAGAGAAACATAAAAGCAGACACAGCAAAACATTTATCTCCACAAGCAGAAGTTAGACTTAGCGGCCCTGTCTATACTTGCTGATTTAATGGAATCTCCATGTTGATACATGTTGATGATCTTTTTAATGTATTTCGGTGCCTTCTTCTTATTATCATTATTTGTACGTTTTTACGAATTTGTATAGGATACGTTTCTTGTCTTTGAAAACCAATAAGAAAATTTGAAATGAAATATTTTACTTGAATATTTATTGAAAAGAAAACTGACTTGGATTATTTTGTTCTTTGCAGCTGCGCAGATTAAAATGATACTGTTACTCCTTTGTATATTGTTGTTGTAAGTGCAATTCTCTTTGGTGGGGGAATGACTCAAAGACCAAACTGAGATCATGCAATTTGGGTAAATTTGTTGACAAGAATTCTTACCTCTGAACTGAAAAATGACAACTACATGTTGTACCTTTTTCATGCCAAATATATCATTTAGAATATTGTTTAATTTTGAGAATCACTGATACATACAGGGTAATATCAAACAGCTATGAATGCCAGTGAAACATATTCAAAAAAGGTCTTGTGATATATTTGATAAATAATACAGGATTTTTGCAACCATATATGAACACAGGCATATATGCCTGTTTTACACATCATGTATCAAGAACCTTTATTTCACCCTTTATCCGACCATGTATTCCGGAAAAATATCTGTTTTTCATGAAGGGTACCTTGAATCTTTTGCACGAAATTAGGTTTTATGAATACATGTAGGTAGTACTTTTCACTACAATAATTCTAGTCATTATGCAAGACAACTTATCCTTTATGCTGGGATAGCTTTCACTACAAAACATGATGATTTATCAGGGTTCTCCATCATTTGAAATGTTACTGTGTTGCAGAGTTAACGCAAAGACCTAAATTTTCGCTGTATTTTCGCCATGAAATTCGCAACTTCCCGTTGTAAATCACAATTTATGAAAATTTCAACAGAATACATTAGACTTATTTAAAAAACATTAATTAATTACACAAATGGTATGGTCGTACAAATTGATAAAAGTAAAACCATGTTCTGAAAAACAGAGGAAATTCTGATCGATACGTACTACTTGACATTTTTGAAAGTAAATTTTCCATGATTGATTGTCAGTTTTCTTGAGTGAATTATCACATTACAAAAAAAAACCAAACTTCAGAACAGTAAAACATATTTAGAGTTCCTTGAACATGACATTACGTTCAAAAGTTTTAGGAAATTATTTACTCCAATAAAATGACTTCGATACGATGTTATGTATGACTTACAGTGCTAAAATAATTCTAGAGCCCTGGCTCTATAGAAAAAACATAATTAAATATTTTGAAAAAAAAAATACAATGTATTCTATTGCAACTACCAATTAACCCTAACATGGGTGTCTTCTAGCTATTCCCACTTTTTAAAAATCTCAATTCCACCTATTCCCACTTGCAAATAACAATAGATGTTTTGATAAGTTATGATTTGTTTTTACAGTAATTAGAATAATTACATCCCATCTTAGATATACCTGTATTTTACCAGTATTTTGTACATTTTAAGAAAATATATTTATCTATAAAAAATACATACTTTATCTGAAAAAAAAAATGCATATAAATATTTATTTTATTTGAAAAAAAAAATAAATATATGAAAAAAAATAAATAACTAAAGTTATAAAATAAATAGTTTAACAGAAACATATAATTAAAAATATACTTAAATTCATTGAAATATATACTTAAGTATGTGTAAATTTATAATGAATTTTTTTTTAATTTTTTTTTGTTAAAAATAGTTATTTAAATCCAGATTTCAATTTAAAGATCAATGAAAGTCTTATGAAAAATTCATTGGTTTACAAATTTACCTGTGCTCTATTCCAAAAGTGGTTTAATAATTACTGTTTTCACAGTCATGACATGTTTATTCGGCTAATTATTTGTTTACACAAAAAATCCACCTACTCCCACAAGAAATTTTACCTTTTTCTACCTGATTTTCAAAAAGAGGGAAAAGGTAGAATAGGAAGTGTGAAAACAAATTATTTGTCCTTGGTTCGTCATGCGTAAAATCCGATGAGGGTCTTGGGGATAATTGATTATGCAAGGTGAAGCCCTTGCGTTTAACTGCTCTAGTTTTTATAATTGAAAGACGATATACTTGTTAAATTAGTGTCTCAGTTAGAGAGAATTTGAATGTTTAGAATTTCTAATTATTATAGATCTTACTGTGTCGGCAAAATTTTTACTGAGTTACATGCATAAAATTTTAATCGTTACTGTGTCGGGAGCAACGCAGTTAAACAGCTCATGGAGCACCCTGATTTATAGATAGAAGTTGCTGCATCTCAATAATACCGGTACGTTAATTAACTTGAATTCACCTGATAACTGATGTTGATAAAAACAATATGTGGATAGCATAAATACGCAATAATATATACATGTACATATATTTTTGACATCAGAAATCATTTTATAATTTTACTACGTTGAAAGTAAAAATGATGAAATGCCCGTAACATCTGAAAAAAATAAATGAGAGATGGTGATTATAGTACTGTCAGTGACACTATACAATTAATGACGTTTAATCTTCGGCCTTGGTCAACCCGTGCCAGACCACGAATAGACCACATTTAAAAGTCAATAACCATTTTATTTAATCAGGAATTTTACAACACTTTTGACACTGTCGTTTATGTCTCTATCGAACATGTCGAAAATAAACATTCATAACAGAATGTAAAGTGTAACAGCACTGTATTCATGTAATTAATTATATTTCAAAACCTTAACAACTATTTCAAAATTGGCACCTGTTTTGTTTACATTCACACTTTGAAAGACACAATCTGATCGGTCGATAACAGCTTAGGCAAAACTGTAGTTGGTAAAGAGGGAACACTCGAATAAACATCCCGGTGAATTCAATCTGAGGTACATCTTAGGAAAAGTCGTCTAGACCAATCAGAGAGCGCCAAAATTCTTGATCACTTAATATTTCGTACTACGTAAGCAAATATGTCAGACTTTCGCGACCTTGGAAAACCATTGATTACCTTCATTGGAACATCCAGTTCTAAAACCATAGTGGTCTTTAGATTCATCAGCAGAACACGTCATGAGACACAACATACCATAGAGAGGGTAGCTACATGTGATATTTCAGAATTCTCCGATATAACCAGGTCTGCAAACTATAAAACTGACTTTTTTAAGATAAAAAATACACAACTAGGATATCTTTCCAAAAGTGCTAAATGATATATTCACAAAAACAGTACACCTTAGATAGGTGTCTCAAAAACTTACTATGCGCTAACAGTTGAACATGTCTATTTCAGTCTTTTGTGATATTTCATGTAGAGAGAGGGGAAATTACGTTTTACAATTTGTGCTAATGCAATTGTAAATATTTATAATACAATAAAATATTTTCAAATCAAAATGCATTTATAAGTGTGTCCTTGCTAATTATTTTTTTAGCATAATACATGTACATACACAATGTGACTCTGGATGTGCATCTAATATAACACAATATAAAACTGGCTACTAGAAAAATGCAACATTCACGAAATCCATATTAAAAAAAATATTTTTTTTAAAAAAGAAACCTGTACATATTTGCTGGGATTTGTTACATATCGTCCCCGAACAACATCCATGATCTCTAAAAAAAAAAACAATTAACATTTTAAAAAATGGCAGAAAGATGGACATAAGTGTTTAAAAACATAGCTCTATATACCTGTTTTCACACGGTCCTCTCATTAAATCCCCTCCTGTAATATTGATGAAGAAAATTGCCGAAATATTAATGAAGAAAATTGCCAGTTTTATAAACAAAATAAAAAATTTCATGGAAATAAAAAGAATGACGTTGCGCGCGGTGTTTGTGTCATTTTCGGTAACGTCAAAATGATGTTATTTTACGTGGCGTTAGAATATTGAGTAAATCAGTCTGAAAAAAATATATGACTACACTTGGACGTCTCTCCTGGGAATTAGAGTGAAAAAGTCTCAACTGGTACGTAAAACAACAAACAATCAATAATATAATTACTGTGATTGAATTTCAAACTAAACAGCACATACATGTGTCTTTGTCCATTGATATCTACATGTATTGCAATCATTGCCTAGAGGAACCTCTATTTATATACACTGTACACACTTCTATTTATATACACAGCATTCAAAAATTGTTTTGGAAACTTATAGATCTCCCGCTTGAAAAGCGGAGGGTATATAGTTATAGTTAATTCCGTCCGTCCGTCTGTTACGCTTTGCGGTACCTATCTTTTATCCGCAACTACTCTCATACCACTGAATGAAATTTGACGAATCTTTCACTGAATCTTTATTACATATTGCCATTGCGCACCTCTTATTTCACTTTTTTATCCGACACATATTTTGGGTTTCACGGCCACAGCAAAACATGGACTTTGCGATTATAACCTTAAGGAGGCATGGGTATCATTTAGTGAGCTCATCGCTCACAGTACCTCTAGTATTTTTTTTTATTTCAAGATCTTAGATGCGCATGACATAAATTATGCATTTGAGATGTAATATTTTTTTTAACCATGATGACAGCTTAATATGAAAAATATCTTATGTATAAATACATTACTCTGTAAAATTAGAGACACGATTTTGGTTTTTTTTTTCCTGGCGCTTATCATTTTCCTATAGAAACGTTAATATTTATTTAAATGTAAGCTCAACTCAAGGGAGTTAATATCGTCAACCTTCGCAGATCAAAAATTGTTAGAGTGTTACCTTCCTGTGGACAAAAGCTGTGCACATATTAATCAAGGGCATCATATATTTAATAAGAAATATTCTGATATACAAAAGATATATATAGAACCATTAATTTTAACAAAATTCTCATGTCCACGAACTTTTTGGACAACATTCGAACATAAAATTATGTCGATATTTAAATGATCGTATGACATACCATTATTATAAAACATAGAAATAAATATGATCGATATAAATGGCAAATTCAACACCATTTGGCAAATTATAAAAATAATACATTTAACAGACAAATTTGTCTCATTGTAATGTTTGATAAAAATGCGATATTCTGTCGGAATAATATATGGCATCATTAAAATTACAAAGTGACGTCACAATATGCATATATTTTGTGATCATTCCCATGTTTCCAACGATATCAAAATCAAAAATTTCCGTGAAACGATGAATTTTTTATAAAACAGTTTTCAGAACTTTTGAATGCCCCCCCCCTCCCTAATTCTCAGAAAAAGTAAAAGGGTTCTGAATGCATACTCTTCTACCCTTACAACATGGCCCTTTTTATTAGTAGTAAATTGAAACTTAACGAGGCCCAATCGTCTGGGTGTGAGCATACTTTTTCACCAAACGTTCTGTTAGAAGCGTGCTGAAACTCACTATAAAAAAACTAGGCACTTGAGAAAAAAGTGAGCTAACATTGGGACAAAATCTACAATATTCATGAATTCCAACATCAGTTAAAGGGGGGGGGGTCCCTAAAATTAACGATGTAAGGTCTTTTTTATGAACTATATTTACGTCACATGAAATAACATGTTAAATGGAGAATAAAAACACGAATATGTTTCAAATATTCGATTACATCAGCCTAAAACTGTAGGAGCAGTAGTATTTTGACAGTATTTCACAGAAATATATATTTAGTAACCACGTCAATACCGTTCAACGAAATCAAAAACAGATACACAAAATTATGTAGTGTTAGTGTCGTCTACTTGTCTGTCGAATTATATTGAAATCAGTCAAAAGTGTAGGAGGTGATTTTAATGCACGTCACATAAATTTCTAGTACTCTTAAATTTCTATTTCTTGTAACCACAACAGCACTATGCATCGAAATAATCGATATACAGAATTATGTGTCTTAATGTAGTCCATTTCCGTGTCAAGTTTCTTATATTAAAATCAGATCAAAGCTGTAAGTGGAGTAAAATTATGAAAAGCAGACAGACAGAAACAGACAGACAGACACAAACATACAGACGACGGACACTTTACTACCGCATATGCTCTACGCTTCTGACCAGTAATCAAAGTGTGTAAAAATTAAACAAATATCCCAAAGTTTGAAAGCAAATGCAAAGGTACATCAAAATTTCTTATATGGACTCATAGGGCACTTTGAAAAATATACTAAATGTATAAACCAATTTTCTGGACTTAGATTTAAGTATAGACAACATCATTTGGCAATGTAGTATTTCTTTACAAAACCATGAACAAGAACACAGGTAGAAGGTTTCTTCAGTCGAAATCTTTATCCTTCCTATTCAAATTTAATCTGAATTCATTTATATAATTGTTTTGATAATGGAATTATCTTTCCAATAAAAGCCCCTCCTCCAAATAGAGATAGACGTAAAAACTGAAGAAAAATCTTTCCAATAAAAGCCCCCCCCCCCCAAATAGAGGTACTGTGAGCACTCAGCTCCCTAAATAATACTTCGCCTCCCATAATCATATGATTATAATGACAAAACCCGTGTTTTGCTCTGGAATAAGTATTATAACAAAAAGTAAAATAAGAGGTACACAATGATATTTTACAATACAGAATCTGTGGAAGTGTGAATAAGTCTTATTTAGTGGTACAGGAGGAGTTGCAGCTAAAAGATGTGTACTTTTCAGTATATCTTGTAATAGAAAAACAGGATTGGTCATGCTTTGCTATAGATTTTCCAAAATATTTTTCGGATCCTTGAACATTGAAATGAATATTGATATGCTGATTGAGGGTGTAGGCGTTCTAATTGGTGTCAAATCTTAAACGGATTTTTTTTTGCATGTTTTCGAAATTAAGTCATAGACCACAAGTCCTGTGTACATAAAGTAAAAATAGATATTACATCTTTGCAACATCCATATTTGAGACACCACAAATAGCTTGCGGTTTGAACTGGCAATGGAGATTGCTTTGTTTTGTGTCATTGTTAGTGCATATACTTTTGTGGGTCGGCGATGAGTAAAGAAATCAATCTAAAAATATGTGGTATTTAAAGTCCACCTAAAGTACAAAGTAGGTAAATTTAATTTTTAATATACATTTGTTTCAATTAAAATGTCAATCACTCATTTAAAATGAATAAACACCAACGTGTATCATGACAATATTTTTGTCGCTACAATAAACCCAAACATCATGCACATAATAACGCTGTTTTACAATGTACAGGTAAATGTCTATACAGATCAGTGATTTATAAGTCAGATGAACCTAATATATAAAGGTTCTTTTGTAAAAAGCCACATTGGAGTGGCAAGAGGCACAGGTGTTGAGCTTACTCAGTCGGTTACGAAACACAGCGGTTTTACTTGTCTTTTAAATTTCCTTATCAAAACCTAATATCTTAAAAGATTGGATGCTTATTCAGCATTCGATATTACACGGAATTCAAAATGAAACCGATACTTTACATTATACTGGAATATGCAAAAACTGATACATTTATTTTAATTCAGAAAACAAGATTAAATTACCCTGGAAGTTGAGTAATACTTTCCACTCAGGTAACCTAATTTAAGCTTGACAGTCATGATCTTAGGGAAAACTTTCTTTTTTTCTCACTTTTACTCATGATATTTAAAACAGCTTATTAACTGATTTCCCCGAATCATTCTGCTAGCATACTTAAACATCAGCCATTTGACAATATCATAATAACATTTTGTAACATAGAAATTGCAGATGACCTATAGGTATTTTCCAAGCTGCATAAGGAATTCAATAATTTCCATATAATTGTTATATAACTCCTGATGCCTCGATTTTTCATTTATTAACATTATTTGAAAAGAATAAATCATTTGTAATAAACCAATATTTTTTTCATCTATTTACGTAAAATGATGCAAATTTTAATTTTCCAATAAGTTATAAGAAACAAAAGAGTAAAAAATGCATTCAGCGTTTTTAGACAATTTTAAGTGTCTTCCTGAATTCCTCGTTTGCGTACCTTTTTTTCATATTCGAATGTCAAATTAATGCCTTGGAAATGTTGTAATTTCCTCAAATTTATTAATTGTGGCTGTTATTATAAATCATCATTCAGGAATTTTATGATCAAAATCATTCAGTAATTTTCAGAAATGAACGTTTGTATGTTAAAAATGTAATAAAACTTTAATTTCTTTAACCCTATTATGTCCAATGATAACTTGAAACAATGCTATTTATTGTATTTTTTGATATTCAATCAACAATTAAAGTTGAATATGATTTACTATATGAATTTCTGATTTAATAATCAAAAAAGGACACTATTTCGAAAATAAAATCCCAGATTCAGATTCACGTTATGCTTATAGTGGCCGTGTAGATAAAGATGTTTATTCATTTAATTATACGCGTACACTTTGTCACATTCACAAATTAAAGTGGAGATCTAGTGCTTTCAGTTTGTACATCAAAGATTTTTAAGAGTCCGAGTACTGAAAAACAGGTTGCGTGAATTTGAAATATTCTTGAATGTTGCAGAGAAAATGTGTTTTTTGATCTTTTAACAATTTTTAGATTGACTCACCAAGGGTTCAAGTATTATTTTTTTCGTGCAAGCATTTTTTATTAAAACTACGCGCTTTTAATTTTAAATAAGTTAACAGGACCAAAATCTGTTCAAAGTGGCCTTCAGTTAATTTTTTGTACTGTGATTGTCTATGAAAAATTAACAGATTTCACTGTCATTCCCATTCCTTTTGAAAACAAAATATCACGATTCTAATATCAGAAGTGGCGTTTGCCGTATCTTCAAAAAAGTATTTGTAACTAACGTTTTTGAATCAGTTTCTTTTAGAGTATTAATAAAAAAAATAAAAACATCTATTGGCATTTTTTGAAATGTTCATCAAAATACTATAACATATATTTACATGTATGTGGCCAAACTTAACAATAACAGCTGAAATAAACAGGAAAAAGTCAGCAAATCATTCACATAAATTTTCTCTGATGATCAGTTGTCTGTTTCACAAAGAACCTTGTGACTTGAGAAGCACATTACACCCACAGTTTATTTTATATTTCATCACAAGAAGCATTAAGATATTTGAAAAGTACTGCGAACCTTGTGAAATCTTGTAAATAAATTAATTATAGCTATATTTAAGGTATACCTTTACTCAGATGACCAAAAATTCCACTGATAAGAACGAAAAACCACCTATTGCAAATTGTACACCTATGATTCTTGTGTTAAATTTTCATTTCAAATAACTAGGTCAATGATCACGTTTTCATGCTAAGGGCCCCTGAATATTTCTCGGGAAATACCTCAATTTTTCACACTATGACCCTTTTTTCTTCACTCACAAAATATTACAAGCAACAAAACTCTTTAAATAATGAAATATTATAGCAATGGAACAGAGTTGCTCCATATAAAGAAATGAGTAGAGTTTTGGTCATAAAGGTTATAATTATTACAGTCCGTATTTCCTCTGTCATATTTATTTTTTTTCCCTATATCTAATCAAATATTGCAAAAATCTGACTGACAAGAACTCTTAATTATTTATAGCCTCTGGTTACATTTGTTATCCTCATTTTCATGGTATTAATATTATATTGCGTCAATGATCAAATTATTGAGATATGTTGACTTCAGTGGTTTTTGTACATGTTTTTCAATTTCTTTATTTCATAGCATTCTTTTATTTGAAATAATTTATGAGCTTAAGCACAAATCAAATTTGAAAAATGATGTCTTAAAATACATGTAACCTTTACTTTGTGATTTATATTGCAAGAAATAAAAATTTTGAAAAAATGAAAAATTACAAATTTAGTCCGAATTCCCTCTGCATAGCAATACATTGAGTTTTGTTCATGTATATTTTCTTTAAGTACTAACATATTAAATTTTTAAATTGATATTGAGATAAAACTTAGTTATTTCATCCATTTAGAACAATATTTGATTCAATATATCATACTTTATAAAATTTCCTCTCTGATTTCTGAAACCTGAGTAAACGTCATCCTTAATGTAGTTTACCAGCAAAAGATTCAACCTGTCGTCCAACAAATTAAATTTTAGCAATTAAAATAAGGAATCTATATAGGTTCAAGCAGTTTTTACAAACTACATATTGTGTTGAAAATGATTTTAAATTAAATTAAGATTTTAACCTGCTTATGCCCTTGCAATATTGGAATTTATCGATGACCTCTAAACTTCAAGACTTTTAGTATAATTGCAAAAATCATATGACGTCGACATCACGTGACAGGTCTAAACCTAAAACCTCATTACATATTTTGATATCAATAAAGTCCTGAAAAAGGAATTGACCTTCTTATAAAGTATGCATTTTTTATCTTCAAAAATCGCCGATATTTCCATTTGTAACCTTAACTGTGCTGCGTAATGAACCTTTTTTACATAAAAAAAAAATTCAGAATAAAGCGTTAAATCTTAAGAATATATATTTATAATAATAAGGCAGATATATAAAACACAAGAGTACAGAAAATAATGGAATTAAATAATCTGTTTTTGAACAAAGTTGTAGATTTCAACTAGATTTTCCTCCATATACGTACATGTTGTAACTGATAAAGCTCACTGCTTTCGCTATGACATTGTACATCACTTGTTTAGCAATGATTTGGCTGTTGTTTCTTTTTAGCCGGGCTTATTGCTCAAAGAGCAATTGCCGGCTTATGTGATCCTGTTCAAGGCAGGATGTTAACCCCATAGTCGCCATTTCTAAGTTACATGCAAAAATATAGTTCTTACTCTCAACCGCTTTTGAGATAATACAAACGCTAAATAAAGCAACAAAAATAAAACTATCTATAAAAAATAAACATTACTAGTGATGACTTTGAAAACTTCATAAGTCAAAGAACATAGTTCATTAACGTAAGGACTTTTGATAATCAGGTATTTCCGTAGTTCTCTACGCATACGAGATAAAGCAGGAGAGGCATCCAGACTGGCCTGTTTGTTTACATTCACCTGCGGTACAAGATTAATTCTGATTCTGACAAAATCGGACCGTGGTATAAGGATTGAAAAACTCACTGTCAGTGTCTTATCATTTATATTGATAGTTTTGAAATACATTTTCATCAGAATATAAACGTGATTCATGTAAGAAATCCATTCTACTCTGTAAATGAGCCCGGCTCTCTGTACTTCTGAGTACTTTGATTTTCTACTTAAAACAACCCTTCTTGGTTTACGTATAATAAATCCGTTCCTTTAATTTGTTTTCACTTTTTACAATATCGGATGTTTAGTCTATTTTTAAATCGTTTTAAAGATATGGGTCATATTATAAAGAAACTTGTAAATTTCGTCCCTAGAATTTTAGTACAAAATCATAAAAAGATGGTGTAAATAGCCTCCTTAAGACCAAAAAAAAAAATTCCCAATTTTTAAGAAATATTTAAGCTGCTAAAATCTTATTTGTCTAAGACATCATGATAGTATTTTGTGATCAAAGGGTATTTAATTAGAAAACAAATATCTTTATTAAATAAAGAATTACAGAGTGGTAAAATTTTAGTCTTAGTCGTAAGATTTATTGTGAAAAAGTCACTGATCATCATTTTATTGACTTATACAAAATACTTGTCAGTATCTAATTTGACACACATTACTAAGGCTAAATGCCCTCTCTATTCACATGCATAATTCTACAACTAAGCTTTCTATAAATTGTGCATTTTCCCTGTTCATATTGTCTAAAATTCAATTATTAGTATAGTCAATTTAAGTTAAGTGTTAAGTTTTGCAGTACCTCACCATCTTTTTCGACTGATGCACCCAGGGTAAAAAAAAGCCGCCGATGTGTGATTAATCAATTGATATTATCAACATTGACATGGAAATATTTGTTGCACGAGAAACCAATCAGGGAATCAAATAAAGTTCCTGTCGTAAAGTTTGTGGCTAGGAGGCGTGTACTATTTACCTTGAGCGCAGCAGCCATAATAGGTTGTGACAAAATGCAAAACTTCACACCTAAAATTACTAATAAAAATATCTTGTTTGTAGCATGCGTTAAATATGAAGGTGAACAAGATCACATGGTTCCTCATAATGTGCTGACTCTGGTCCAGATATTTTTGACATTTGCCAGTGAACATGGCCTTTCCATTTCATGTATACTATAAAGATGAAGTAGGCAGATATACCAGTAATGCAAAGCAGACTTAAAACTACAATCAGATATAATAACGGACTTTCTTTCCCATCTGTTGTGTAATTTGTTGTGATATTATAGCTCACAGATGAGTAGTTGGTAACAGAACCTTTTGCACTGTGAGTAAAATTGTCAGGTAAAGTGTTATTTTTTTCAAACGCAGCTCCTTTTGTAGATGTAAGGTCATCAAATATTGTTGAATCTTAAAAAGAAATGAAATGTATATTTTTAAAAAAAATATTTCAAAATAATAATAAAAAAAAAAGTCAAATATGTTGTATATAAAACTCATATTTTCATAATCGCACCTCGCACATAACCTCGGACGTCAACGGTGATCTACCATCTTGCTAATTCAGTCATGTGATCTTGTTCAATTTTTTTTCAAATGTCATACATTTGAAATCAAAGTTATTTTGTGGCACACTCAACAGATTTTTCTTGCTTTTGAAGTCTACTAAGATGAAGTTGTAATCAAAACTTGTTTACAATAAGGAATTGCACAAGTTAAGAAACATTTTCGAAAAACGTTATGCAGAGCAAAATATAAATTGAGTAATAAGGCAGTTTCCCGCGGAGAAATTTAAGGATCTTTTGCGTATTCCTCCACGTATCACATCCGAGGTTTGAATGGAGCGCTGCATTTCATTTCCGGAAATATGCATAGCATTTCCGACATTTTATGTTTTCATTTCCGACATTTTTTGTTTTCATTTCCGACATAATTTTGTTTTTATTTCCGGAATTTACATGTGCGGTAATTCAATGTTTTCTAAGTAAGTGAAAATGAAATTTTAAGAGTATTTATTACAAAATATTTAAAAATAAAATTAAAAAACATCTACACATTTATGCATACATGTAGCACTAAATCTAGGTAAAATAATTCAACGAGCATAAACTTTTTCACTACGAAAGTCTACAAGGGTCAAATTAGAAAATGAAGGAAAAAAATTAAGTCGTGATAATAACTTCTTATCTCGTAATAACGACCTTCTTAGGTCGTAATAAAGACTTTTAATCTCGTAATAACGACTTTCTCAAGTCTTAATAACGAACTTTGTATCTCGTAATGGAGTTTTATGAAGAGAGTTACTTTTACATTTGACAACTGACTTTTACATTTTAGTGATTGGAGTTTGTCTATGTTAAAATTGTAAAAGTCATTCGTCAATTGTAAAAGTCAGTCTCTTCATAAAACTCCATTAACGACCTATTATATCGTTATTACAACTTTCATAAGTCGTAATAACGACTTTTTATTTCGTAAAAACGACTTTCTTAACTCATTATAATGACTTTCTTAATTCGTAATAACGACTTTTTATCTCGTTATTACGACTTTCTTAATGCGTTATAACGACTTTATATCTCGATAATAGATTTCAATGCTTTATTTATGATTTTTTTTCTACATTAAATTTCCATAAGTAAGGTATTCAAATCTGTTACTAAAAGTACTACATATGAATTTGAAAAATGTCGGAAATGAAAACATAAAAAATGTCGGAAATGAAAACATAAAAAAAAATGTCGGAATTTAAAAGTTGATAAATACCAAAAATTCCGGAAATGAAATGCAGCCGAATGGAGCTTGGCGGAGTCAGCCGAGGATTGCCGATTGGCATGTATACTTGAGCTGTCATGCTAGGGAGAGTGTCATTAACGTTACACCTTGTTTGAATCGGCATATTATAATGTTTCTGAAACATGTGTAAAAACGCGCTATAATCTATCTTTTAATCTTTTAAATCCGAATATTTTAAATAACTTTGCTTTTTTACTTTTATTTAAATTCAGCGTGTTCAAAATATTACGAAACTAATAGATGTTTGACACTTACTGTATTTTATACCTCTGGATAGAAGTGGAATTCATCATATGTGCATGAAAAATTTTTGACCAGGTTATTAATGAGTATTTATTTGTTAATGAGATCTTTTGTGGTTACACGTATCTGTAAGAGGAGTTCACCTCCGTGGATCTTGCTTGGGAAAAATATTTTATAGCTTTGTATTAAAGCATAGGACAATACTTCGTGAAAAATACCCTCAAATTTGTCGGTAAGTTGAGGTTATTGTGAAATATCTTGTACCAGTGAAATAGTATAAATTTTCCCAAGCACATTTCGAGTTCGCAAGGATACGTCGAGATTATTTTCATGACAAAAATTTAATAAAAATTGTGTAACATGTAATCAGCTGCGCCGAAGTTATTTATGTGAAACTTTTCATGAAACTAAAAATGACCGTCACGTGATCATCAAGGTCATTTGATATTTTATCAAATATGTTTATATATAGTCTAGAGAACTCTCTATATAAATAGCCCGTTTCTGAGTTTGTAATTCACGAATAAAATTAAAAGTCGACAATTGCAATTCAGTGTTCATTTTTTAGCGCGTTTAAAGCTTCAGAAGGCCTTAACAATACGGCGTCTGGATGTTATGAGAGAAAACCTGCCCTTCACATCCTTGCCTCAGGGGATATAATATAAACAAACTTGAATTCATAATGCTTCCACATTAAAATATGTATCATGACTGTTGTTTTTAAGAGGGTTTCACGGATATTCTTTATATCCCTGTATTAACTTTTGGCTGTCTGTGTGGCGCTACTTTGGACCCAAATGTCATGATTTTAGCAATCTTAAATCTTTATTTATTATGGAAATTCTAAATTTTTTGCCACCTTTGCAAGATAATTTTTTTTCCCAAAATATTTATACATCTTAAAAAAGTGTAATAACTTATTACTCTAATCTAAGGGTTTGTGATTTAAAAAAAAAATGTATGAATCCGCCTTCCTTGTAAACACTTTCCTTTAGTGTACGTTTACATGTAACATATCAGCACTTTCTTGTTCTTGAGAAAAAAAGTTTTGAATATTATTTTTCCACAGAACCAAATGCGGCATAATGCATATCTTTTTCCCCACAAATGTCAAATTTGAAAAAAATCATGGAATGTGCTCATATTTATTGTATGAGAAATATAAACTAACATATCATATTATAGTTCAAAAGTAGTTTCTTGACAATTTCTGTTTTTATGACTCACAAACTAGTTCGATTTTATATCATATTGTAGAAAGAATACAAAATATACAAAATTTCAGCAAATTTAGCTTTAAAATTTATAGAGCGCAAGTTTGCTCAGGAGCAATATTTACATATTTCATTGACATTATCATTCTACATATGACATCAAAATATTGAGTCTAATCAGATCTTCGTTCAGTTACTTTTTCTAAAGAAATCGACGTAAAATATACATTTGTTTTGTACAGATCATGACAATTTTAGATTTACGTCATTTTTGTGACGTCTTTTCAAACATGTGACGTCATTGCTAATGAAAATATTCAGTGTTCTGAAGTCAGCATATATTCCCCTGATTAAGAACATAATTAAATATTTCTCCGTCAAAGTTTGATTTTGGCAAATATTGGTTATTACCGAAGTTCTTTCCTATTCAAAACAATCGCCTATTATGATATCTTCTCATCCTTGCAATCAGGATTTGAACAAACTTGAATTTGATCTCTGCTAAGATACTTTCCCTTACATACGAGTATGAGTTATCAGGAATTTTGGCCCTAGGTATATGTTTATTGAAACATTGCATTTTCTTTATCCCTATGTAACACGTATTGCCTATGTGGCAACAACAAAACCAATGGGTCTTGTTTTTATATAAAAAAAAAAGAAGTATCTATATTATTAAGGAAAATTTCATTTAAATTTCATTATTCAGGTCAACTGTTTCTTGATTAGATTTCGAGGACACTCAACTTATTAAATCGTTTCAATTTAATTTTCTTGATTATCCTTCCCTTTATTGGATTTGTCATTTATTTGACAAAAATTGAATGCCCTTTACTTAAGGATTTAGTGTGGAATGGTTGCTTAAAATTGGCCCAGTGTTTTAGGAGAAGACGTCTTAAATGCATTTGAGATAATAGGCGTACAGACAGGCAGATGACGAACGATATGTGATCAGAAAACCTATTTGAAAATGTTCGCTTAGGTAAGCTGAGAATATAAACTTACATGCAACTGTTAAAGATTGAACATAAATTATCTATGTATCTCCTGTTTGTTGTCGTCACATAATAATTGATTTTGTGGTCAAATTTGCAATGTTTGGGTTTTGTACAGTGCTTAGATTATACAGAATACCTGTTAACAGTTGGCATCCTATTTGAAAATCACAATTGGATTCATTGCACTGACATTCCTGCAGACAGTCCATTCCGTAATATGGATATTTACACATTTTCCCACAATTTCTTCCTACATAGCCTCCTGTACATGCTAACAAAATGACAAAAAAAAAAAATCAAAATATAGATATCAATTTAACATCTGATTATTTAATGGACTTTGCCATTTGAAAAGAAATGTTTGCTAAAATTATATATATTTATGAAAAATAAAAACAATAAATAAATAAATAAATGATGTACGGTCTTATTCAATGTGATTTGCACCAAAAACATATAAATTACTAAGTACATCTGATTTTACAAAAAAATCTTTGAAAATTTTAAAATGTAATAAGCAGTACATGTACAAAAATCTCGATTATAGGTATTTTAAGAAAGATTTGGTCCAGCGTTCATGTAATTGTATGAGTTTCTTTATACATGAGAAAAAAAGATATTAATTACAATTACACTACACAATGATTCGAAAATTAGAGAACCATGCCTTATCACTATCCACATAACATTTAAACATGATAAGAAGTCATAACTTACGTTTACATTGTTGATCATCCGGGTCCCAATACGTGTTTGAACAACAGCCATGTTCCATCCTGGTGACGGAATTATAGAATTATCAAAACAAAATATTTCTGTTAATAAATTAAGAGCATACACAAATGCATCAAAATGATACAATTAGTTTCATAGATGCAGAATATTTTAACATTCTAATATGTAGGTGTAATACTCTCAAATCCGGGTTCTTTAAAACACAGTATTTTTTGAAAAACAAACATCAACCATCAATAAAAATACACAGCAAAATAAAATCAACTGGTGCTTCCATTAAAATTTAACTCGATCTTTCCGATCATGTTCGATTCCATTCGATTTTGCTTTTTGCGCCGAATAAGAGACGTCACAAATGCTTTGGTACAAATGTAGGCATTGACACAAGAAGAATTCTCCTTACTCGTCCACCGAATAAAATTTTTTTTTAAAATTTAAGGCCAATCACATTCATTCTCTTTATGAGGGAAAAAATTTCCAATGGGATGTATAACAACATGCAATCAATCAATGTTGAAATTATGTCTTTCATACTTTTTTTCTTATTCCATTTCATTTAGTTTGTAATTAAGGTTCCATTGCATGTATTAATAAATATTAAAGGAATTGTAATTTTAATTGTATTTTTTTTATTGATTTCCTTTTTGAATTGTAATTGTGAACATATATCAATAAAACATGTTTTAATGTAATGCTACATGTACTCATTTAAAAAGTGATTTTTCCCGACTGTTGCTCATGTACATCAAAGAAAATGGCAGCGTTTGCTCCATGATCGGAAGGTTGTGAGTACGAATTTCAGCCGCAAATGACCTACGTGGATGAAAAAAGGGTTACGTAACAACTTTTCCTTTGTTATTCACTCGGCACTCTGATGGAAAAATTGCGAATCCTCCGGGTGAGACCTTATAAAGAAGAAGATACAGTTTCAATACAAAGTAAGCCCGATATTTTTCTAAAATATAAAAGTGATATAAGAAAACAAAATTCATTATTTCTAAATCGTAGAAATTCCCTGCAGCAAGAATATACAAATCGTTTTTCTTATATGACTTCCTTAATGCTAATTGTGACGTCATTAACTTGTGCATTTTCCCGTATTTTCTTAAAAAGTTGCAGAAGACATCAATTTTCAGTGGAATTTTCTTTCAGAAAGCTTACTCTGCCACAATCCCCGGAAATATTTTGAGATATGTGATTTTTCATAACAGTTTACACAATATATCCAAAAATTAAAGTGGGCGACGGTGGCAGACACTATTTTCTGAAGGAAAATAAGTACAGAAATGAGTCATTTTGAGGCTTTTCTGCATGAAACTTAGAAATTCACCAAATTAATGACGTCATACTACCAGAAAGGACCTCATTCATGCCATATTCTTTCATGATTGATCATTTTCATCCACTCAACTATTGTTAAAGCCAATATCGTAACTTTTTAAGACCATTCAATTTTTAGGGCACATTAAAGCCCAATCTGTATCTTCTTCTTGGGGTCCCGCGTCATGGAAAGCGTTAGCACGATAAAGACCCCTACCTACTCAATGGCCTCCAGTGCCGAGTATTAGGTCAAAATTTGAAGCCTTAATCAGTATACTTTGGTGACGTCTCTATACGAGTGAAAATTTTTCGAATGTGATGTAAACATCATACATTTAATCAATCAAAGGGAATGCTAATGTTTGTGGCTGAGCGGGGCGGGTATCAAAGGAGAGTGAAGTAATGAGACGTGATTCTTATGTTATGAAAGTACATCGATCTTCACCAATATCAACTCCCCATCCCTCCAAAAGAACAGCTTATCGCCTATATGTTTAATTGATTTTCATATGATGTTAAACAGATGTATTTCATACATTTTAACACTGATGCATGTTATTACATATGATAAATAATACTTTGTCAATGAGTCCATTCTGAAATTCAATTTTTATAGGTACCTGAACACATATATATCGTACATGTAGTATAAAAAAACAAAATGAATACTAAATTATAGTAAATTCCACATGGAACGAATCGTGATTGGGTTACTAAGCACGCTTGCAAAAGCACTTCCGCATGAGAAGAAAAACGTTCTAGCTGTGGTTTTCAACTCAGTATCGACGTTCAATAAATCTACAAGATTTGCTTCTATCCATAAGTTGACTGGATATATTCCAACGACAAACAAAAAATACATGATACGGTCTGTCAAATCTACTTCATATTTGAGGTTTTACTTAGTGTTGGCGATCAACTACAGTATAATAGTTATTTATCAAAATGTATGAAAAATGTGGTTTTTGCACCCTCTATTTATGAAACAATAATTCAACATCACCTGCATTTGATGTATACTTCCAGCGCATTGAAAACGACCAGTTTCTAAACAGAGTCAACCTTCTGACAAAGAGATTGATGTTACAAGTATTGCATAAATTTCAAATTAAATTCTTCTTGTATGAAATTGTTTGTAAACAGAATCCATCCTTGGGTCTGTTTTGCTCAACAGATTCGAGTTCATATCATTCACAAGGACATTTCTTTTATACAAGATGTAACATTCTTCGATTTTTAAACATAGTTTATTGTGTAATAATTATTACAAAGGGATTTATTACAAGTTTTATCAACCTGGTCTAGTAAAACTTTTCCTTGCTAATTTAAATATCTCAATTTAAATATGGAGTACTCCTTGTACCGGATTAATACGTAAATCCCACTACAGGTGAAATTGCTTGACAGGGATGCTCTTTCTTCCTAACCAGGTGCTGTGCTTTATATTTGCTCTATTAAGCATTCATTTTGTCTCTCATATTTTTTTTTAGAATTATCACTGTTTTTTATTTTTGTATTTCTATTTGACTGTAATCCTGAACCATGTTATTTCCTAATATATACTTTACATCTATAGATTCCAATTGTGGTCTCCTTTCCTGATAAAGTTAAATATTTCCTTGTGCATAATGTGTTCAAAGTAGTTAATGATTTTCAACTAATATGTTACTATCTCCATTGAAAGATTGATCAGAGTAGTAAAATGTATGAGACTGACGATGTCAAGTTATTACTGGGGAAAAGGTGCTGCAGTTCTATCAATACGATCTCAACCAGATATCCTTTGAGGATCCTTCAGGGTTCATGCATAACGCCAACCGACATGTATCAATTGATTTTCTAATGCTTTCGAATGGTTTTTTGGTTCTTTACTAAAATTTTAATTATATTAAGTAGATATTGGAATATATTGAGTAAAATGTATAGGGAAAAAAATCTGAGAAACTCTTGACACTTTGTTTTTGACGTTACACAGTCATTGGGAGTGTTCTGTGGTTAAGAACCATGTTGATTTTAAAAATGAAGTAAATTATTTGTATTAAATCGAATGGAATATAACATCAATTACACATAAACAAAACAAATTTATTTTTTTCGAGCAACACTCTTACATTATCATTGTCATATTATTCATAATTCTTTTGCAATTTTTGATGCATTCTAAACATTTACAATTCACACTCCTGAACAATTACTTACGAACTACAGGGACCGTTTTGTTTTCCAGACCTAGATACATTAACAATAGCAATGCAGAACAAAATAATACGTATCACATTGTACATGTCCATCCACCAAAATTCATCCAGTCATTGAAAATATTATTACATGTTTATAAGGTTTATTTTTTTAACTTCCTCAATTTAATTAGGATGTCATTACAATTTAACTATATGTGAAGGAAAACATTCCGATGAAGTAAAAAACGTTAATATATATTATGTCCTTAGAATGTTCATTTAAAAGCAATTTCACTCTAATTGTTATTGATTAAAATTTATAACAAGATAACGAAAATGACACAAATAGCAAATCATTAAGACACCCTTAACAGAGTTTAATGTACATGTATTCACAAGTGACAACGGACATATTTAACACAAATCAATTTCCTCATACATATTAGAGTTTTTTTATGCTGCAAAATGCATAAAAAGAGAATTTTATATATTACATCATGTATACATATTCACTTAAAACTTTCTTTATACATTTGCTTTTTAATACAGTACAATTATTCTAGAGTCAAAGTATTTTCTCTTTGTCACCTTAACAAACCCTACGGTGTGAGATACAGTGGAGATAAGCTGCAGATCTGGATCCTGTAAGGAAAATAATATGCAATTTACCTTATAAATTTTCTGCTGACCATTCGGGAGAGTTTCTCAATTTAATTTTAGCATCGGTTACTCAATTTAACCTCGATCTTTTATTGTATGCAAATTGTTTTAATATCGTGAAAATTATACATGTACATGTACCTGCATGCAAACCCTTTATATATGTAGTTGTCTATTAATACAAATGAATAAACTCGCTTATTCTGAATTTTCTGCCATCCGGCAAACACAAAAACAAGTGATTTAATTTGTCTATATGTAGAGACTAGATTACCTTTTGGGAGATGATTTAAATATACAATTAAATTAAATTCTGTCCTAAAGTGTTGAGTAATAGTTAGTTCATTGATCAAATCTTGAAATTCGAACATTTCTCACAAACCTTCCACACAAAATGTTGCACCGTGAATTATTTATCTTTTTGCATTAAAGGATCTGTAGCGTTATGATCAAGGACAAGAATATCAATTCATGATATCACATTTCTGCAACTAGGTGTAGATATGTTTATAGTCATCAAAATTGCTCTAAATTATGTATCACACGTCATGTATTGTCCATGTATACAGTCATACATTAATAGCATTTTCTGTAAGCATTTAAACTCTTATATAGGGAGTGTGGCACGCATGGTCTTGGATTTTTATGAAACTTGTCACACATTCCTATATTGATGTATGAAACTTAAAATCATAATAAAATGGTTGCTATTGCCCATGGTTACCATGGCAACCAAATACATTTTTCATGGCCTAAAAACCGCTAAATTTTTATGAAAAATGACCCTTTTTGGACTTAATAAAAGTCTTTAATAGAACAAGATATTGACATGACTCTGCCTTTTTGCTTAAATACACCATTTTATAGTTCTTTAGACAATTGTTAGTTTTGCAGCAACTTTACCTTAAAGAAAAAATATCCCCCCGTTTTAAAGTAGGGTTTTGCGGAGGGGAAATTGTAGATTTTAGGCTATTTTTAAAAGCCTGGTATAAATTTTTGCGGACAGTTGGGAAAAAATAAATACATTGGTTTGAAAGTCCATATATAGTTCTACTATAAACTATAAAGAACCACTTGGTATTCATATTTAGTTTTCATGTTACCATGGTTACAAACTTATGCTTTTTTTTAAAAAATCATAGAAAAGTACAATACGTAGATACAATCAGGATCCATACAATTGCTTGTGTATTTTAAAATGGATTAAAAGAAATTAAGATATATGGTAAACAATAGCAAAAACAAAGAGAAAAAAAATCTATTTTCATGACTTAGGGTCAAAAGTCAAGGTCAATTTGGCAGATTTAGATAGATATTTAAGGAAACTTAAGATTCTTTCTGTGTCATACATGTAACTAATACTTGTGTTTTAAACAACAAATGAAGAAATAAAATTACAGTTCTGGTCAAGAATAATTAGCATCATTTGAATGTGTGCACATATGGACAGAAGTTCAAAGCTCAAGGTCACAGTGGTATATGAAGAACTACGCACACTAACTCTTAATTCCCGCCTCCATTTTGCAACCATTTTATTCAATATTAATGGCAATTTAGCCATAAAATCTTTGTTTAATTCAAAAAACATTTTAATCGTATTTGATTCATCATTTTAATACAAGTGCTAAATAGTACATTATCCATTATTTCAACTCTTGAAATAAGGGGAGGGGGGGGAAGGAGATGATGATATTTTCCATTGAAATCGGACTTTCAAGCATCACCATATTTTGAAAAAAATCTTGGATTTAATTAAATGTTCCGTATATTTTTTCTCATGTTTTCTGCAAATAAGTAAAACATATATATGTATTAATAAAATACACCGTTTTAGCTGTAAATGACTTTAAAAGTGGGAGAAAATAGACATTTATTTTCGATTTTTGTCTATTAAAATATGCCCCCCCTGTCTGTTTTAACATTTTATTATCATGGGATATCTTAAGATCTACGATCTTTTTCAAATTGAGTTTATGTATCACTACTCGCTTTGGCGTAAAAAGACACCTATTTATTTCTAGGTCAAAAGGTCAAGGTAAAAAAAACAGTGTATGCAAACCTCTCATTTCCAAGCGATATCTTAAAAAGCATTTAGGTAAGCTTTTTTTTTTTTACATCATAACCCCCTATGGTCCCGCCAAACCCTTTTTAAGTGTCCCATCCCCTACCCCCACCACCCTCCGACACCCCCCTCCCACTTCTCTTAAGGTATTCAATGTATAACGAAGGGATTTTGACTGATTTCAGATAATTTTAAACTAGTTAAAAGCACATTGTTAGATAACGATTAAAGTGAAATGAACCAAATTCACAAGCCTTATAATTAGTAAGGAGAAGGTCATTTTGCACATCAAAAGTTTTTGAAGAGTTATCTGCCCTTGATGAAAAGAAGAAAATTTTTGATTTCACAAAATTTCTGCGGTAAATAATTTATTTTATTTCATATTTTAATAAAGAGTGGGTTTATGCATATTTTCAACAAGAGATTTGTTTGAAATTCAAATTACTTTTTACAATATCTTACAAAAACATGCGCTGCCCATAGACTTCAATGTAAATTTCAAGGTGAAATTAATTGGACAATAATCAAAATTTTGTAAATTCCTTTGGTTGAAAATTTTCCTTTGATAACATTTTCAAAATACTACCATGATTAAAACTATCAGACCATTCATTTTTTAGGTACAAAATATGGTCGTTATACATTGAATACCTTAATCTACACAAGTTAATATCTCCTTATGCAGGGGACACATATTCTTTGAAAAAGCTTGTTAATAATTGCAGTTATACTCGGGTATTCGGAATACTACTGGTACATGTAAATGTTGTATCCTGACCTCTATCCCGAACATAAAATGTATTTTATTGAAACTAGTATTACATTCTCCCATTAGCTTAATGTGAAAATGCTTATAAGTACGGTTTTCAGGTTTTATTGATGTAAAGGAAGGCAATTAAGAATCTTGAATGACTATGCACTTTCTATATTGAGTGCAAGACTTGTTGTACGTAGAGAATTGTGCTACAAGCATGTAAAGACACTTTTTTGTTGTTATAGTAAACTACTCCTTGCTCCTAAATGTACATTTTAAAAACCATATTTAACAATCTGAACTTTTCAAGTAACAGTCAAAATGTGTTTTCAGTGACTTTTTTTCAGAGAAGTTGACAGAAAAAAATTAATTTACTTTGCAACATCATTCTTAAAGAAATTAGATGGTAAAATATTTTAACTCAAATATGTCTGGGTCTACGCAAAAGATCCGCTATTTCCAAATTTTAATTAATAATAATCTGTTGAAAAAATCTGCTTGGGGGGGGGGGGGGAGGGCTATATGCTATAAGGTTAAATCATATCTGAGTCCAGGGAAATTATAAACCGATAACTTTTAATTTGATTCACAGACAATTTGTATTTCTATGCAACTCCCCCAATCATCAAAAGTATATTTCTGCCTGGTGAACAAAACATTTTATACTTGTTTATCCTGTTTAAAAACTACATAATATGACTGCGTGGGTTAGGGGACAACCTTTGATCCAGAATGGGGGAGGGTCAACTTTAAGGTTTATTTTCATGGACATTGGACACTAGGTAGCCCTCAAATAAAAGCTCGTAAATTTTTACATTGGTTAAAATTTTCGATGACATGCCAGATTTCCTTTGCAGAAAAGACTTCCTCAATCACATATCAGCGAAAGAAAATAAAAAAAAACATATTTCAACACATTCGATGTAATAGTACAGATTTTTTCACGTTTCAGGAACACTATATTTACCTCCTTTAAACGTTAATCAAAGAATGACCAATGATAAAAATGTGTGTTCCTTAACATACTGACAGCATATATTAAGAGTTGTTTTTAGTTGCCTGTCTTTAAGTGATGCAAAGTCACACAATTAACCAACAACAAGTGTACACCAAAAATTCAAAATCTATGAGTTTTCATCTCTTGATGCATCAATTGTGCAAGTTTGGTTTACATAAGCCTTATAATTTCATGGAAATAAACCCGTGGCCTGTTTTACAAAAGAAACTACGACTTAGATAAAACATTTTAGTTTATTGTACACTTCTATGAAATAGATGTTTCTGTTAGAAATTGCTAGCAAAAGAATTCTTTTCAAAAACATTAAGCAATTTTTAAATCAACGTAAAAGGGAAAGTTATCAGCAGAATAAACTTTTTGTCTTATTTGTACATGTGTAAGTTCTTTTATGAAATGAGCCGCTGGTCCATTACTTTTACGTGGTCCATTATCTGGAAAATATAAGTCAAATTCAACATCCGAAGCAAGTTCATTAGTGTGAATCCTAAGATGTTTAATTTATGCAAGTTTGATCATCATAGGGTTCATAGATTCTTGGAAATGAAACCAGCATAAAAAACAGTTTACTCATTCCGGAAATGTTAGTCGGATTCAGCATCCGAAGCAAGTCTGGTAGTATGAATCCTAAGATGTACCATCCATACAAGTTTGGCCATCATAGGACCCTTAGTATTTTGAAATGAAACCTGCACCCAGAAATTTTACCTGTTCACTAAACCAGTAAATGTAAGTCAGATTCAGCATCCGAAGCAATTCTGGTAGTTTCCATCCTAAGATGTTTCATCCATGCACTTATGGTCTTGACAGTGCTCATAGTTACTTGGACATGACACCTTCGCCACAAACTGCAGCAAAAATGTTGACCCTCTCCAAAATATTAACCTGGTCACCCCCTTGGTAAAATTGCAGCATCTGAAACTTTTACTGGTACAATGAAACACACTAGAAGTATATTCGATGCATGTCTAATCAATATAGAACATAGAAGTACTTAAAAAGAAAGCTGCTCCATAAAACTTAACCTTTGTCTGTGACGCCGACGCAGATGGTTTCACATAAACTCCCCAACTTCGTTGAGGTCAGCTAAAAATACTAATCAAGGCGTCCGTTTTTGTGTCAGTGCTCTCCTCTGCATAAGTTATGAGTTTGACTGAAAGAATTTTACACGGCTCAATCATATCCAGTTACATTACATACAATCCAAAGTTATCATAGATTTAAACATCACCTAATGGCATGTGGTATATTTGATACAGACGGTGTTTGTAAACGAATATTTCCTATTTTAGCTGACGCATATTGATAAGCGTAGGTAAAATACCTATATGGTTCGGGTTAGGCGTTTTGAAAGAATGACTCATAGGTTTAAATCTCAGGTAAATATAAATAAAGTACACCATTTAGAAATTATATATGAAAAGATCTATCTATATATAAACCTCTTTTAATATTTCATTATGTTAGCCTTTTAAACTATAGCTACTTAGAGTGTACATATTCCCATAATCTATCCCTTTATATCTGTAGTATAATTCCATACAAATAACACAGTATAACAAAAAAAAACACACACACTTAATCGGATTCATTTTCATCTTTGAGGAGTTCCCAATGTTTACTGACATATCTCATACGATTTCATACAAGCATGAACTAGGTAGCCCTCAAATAAAAGCTCGTAAAATTTTACATTGGTTATAATTTTCGGCGACCTCCCAGATTTCCTTTGCAGATAAAAAAAATCAACAAATTCAAAGTAAAAGTAGGGATTTTTTCCGCGTTTCAGGAACACTGTATTCACTTCCTTAACACATAAATTAAAAACTACCGATAAATTTAGATGTGTATTCCTATAACATATAGATAGTCTATATTTAGAGTTGTTTTTAGTTACGAATATCGAAAAAGAAAGCGACGCATGACTATACTCAATTTGCAGTATTACTGGATGCGTAATACATATATTTGTAACGTTACATGTCTTTTTGACATGCGTAGGCTATCAATTGCGTAATCACTGAACATTTAAAAAGGCATGATTGGAAAATCATCCATTTAAAGTTTGTCAGCACCTAGTCTAATTAGGTATGAAATGTTCACCATTTATTTTTCTCCACATGTTTTATAATATTGAAAGTCTCATGTAGTAACATATTACAAAGTAATTCAAAGTAAGAAAAAAAGGAAATTTAAAGAAGAATTTGTTTTATTTCGTTATCAACTATGTTATTTGATCTATATTTGTGATTGAATTTTAGTTTTATTTTTTTAATCAAATTCGAATGAACTGGTTAAAATGTTTATATAAAAAGGGTGTGTATTTTAATTTCTACAAAGCAAGGTGTCCATCATAGTATGAAAAGAGGGTGTAACCATTACTCTGAATTTCTAACATGCACAATATGCTTTCTATTGATGACTGCCATTCTATGTGAAAGTCTTGTTAGAAATGAAGGGAAGGAAAGAAAAAGACGTGGACAACAGGTACAATTGATCAATATAGACAAACAGCAAACGATAATCAAAACAATTTCTTAATTACATGTAGAACACGTTATTTTTGTCATTATACCTCGAGAAAAAAGATTATGTTCTTCATGAAATACTATTGATGATAAATCTCATTTCTCTCTTCTAGCTTGAATATACAAATAAGGAATGTATTTATAAAAGCTATGTTAAACAATCGTTCCCAATTCTACCCCAAATCACCTACACAGAAACTTGAATATATACTAAAATCTGAAGTTATACCGGCTGTTTGCACTTTTATAAAACTAAATCATTAGAGTTGAGACATAGAAGGTCCACACCGATGTAACATTTATGGGATTAATTTCTATATGAATATTGTAAATATAATTCATTGTTCTCATTCATTTTATTTTTTTTTATGTATTGCTTAACTCAAATGGGTGTAATATGCAATAAAAATTATTATTTTTTATATCCACAACTTTTCCACTAATAAAAGTAACTCTCACAATATGAAAAGCCTTTTCGTTGCTTGTTCTTGTTACTTGAAACACTAGTGAAGACACGAAAACTTGAGTTGAGTGAAAATGTCATTTATTGACAAAAGTGAAAAAAAAACAGATAAATATACAATATTACATACAATCATGTAAATTATAGCTGGGATAATGCCTAATAATGATTAGTTTCAACCTAGATATGATATATTGCGACTTAGTGCTTATCCCCGCTAATGTTATATAATGATTACCAAGTTTGTGTAACAAGAAGGTGGCGTAAACAAAGAGGCCACAAAAAATTATTATTTTTTATTAATATAGTTTGTATTCAAGTGTTCATATGTATATTGGATTTTTTGTTCTTCCGTTTCAGAGGCTATCATGTTCAGTGTCTTCCGACACAATAGTCCAGAGATTGTGTCCTAACGATACGGAAACCCGTAATACACGTGCAAAAGAACTTGGTTGTGAAAATATCACTAACCATTGTAAAGATTCTAAAGATTTTGTTTACCATTGTGTTTTGAATGAGTGGGGTAACGGCTCTTTAGAAATATGTGCACCGTCAACAAAAATTATAGGTTTGTATTCCGTTGATAATTTTAATCACAACAATTTAAAGAGAAATTAATCATTTACATGGAATTTAAATCATTTTTTAAACAAATATAGATAAGATTTACCATCTTATTAATAAAAGATACTATTCAAGGACATTGCTTTTTTGTCCCGTTTAATTATATATCATCATTAAAACAGTTAATCTTACAATAATTGGACTTTCTATAGATGTATATTTGGTTTTTGTTACAGGACAATTTTGTGCAGAATTTAATTTAGGCGGAGCTATAGTTCAGGAACACCACAAAACAAATAGAACCTGCACTTCTTGTCCTTTTGTTTATAACTCAACTGAGAGTTTTCGTTGTGAGTTTTTTTCACATTGTTTCTAGTTTTGTAGTTGAAACAGATTTGATTTGAAAATCTCTAGAACTTTTGAGCTTCTGATTGACAAAAGTTCAACAATAACAAATTTTGGGTTCAATTTTTCATTTTCGTTGAAGTTCCATTATGTATTTATTGCCTATACAATATATCAAATGTATGAGGACATTTCATTTCTTAAATTTTGGTTAAAAAAATATCTTTTAAAATCTCTCCCTCTTAAATTAATGGTTTATATTTAACAAAAGAAAAAGGTGTGACTGAACTGCTAAATTCTTATGTCTTTTTTTTTTATAGACAATGAATGCTTCAAAGGACTTCCATCAACACCTACAGGTTCCACAAAACAAAATAAGCTTCCTATGTCAATAGATCAATGGATCGGGTAAGGGTACTTTAGTTTTATAATAAATGCTTTAAATTTTTGAAAAGATGTATGCCTAAGATAAAAATTTATCTTCAAAGACCCATCGTTTTACTTGGTCTTATTTCCATCATCGCTACAACAATCTTTTGTGTGGTGAGGAAAAGAATTACATCACAGAAACAACACATTCCATTGTCAGGCATGAAAGACAACCAGGATGAGTTTGATATGGGAGACGAATAAAAAAGTTTAGAATGTGAAAACGAAGTTTTTAAAATGAAACGAACATTCGTTTTAAAAAAAGTTGAATATTAATCAGCGATTTATGAAGAGATACTGCATCCTTTACATAAAATGAATAATTAATGCATACGCCAACATAGGACAGAAGTGAATCACAAGATCCGTTCCTTCGGTCTCTTGGCACACAGAAATGTCTACCCCGATATGTATACATGTACATCATACTGTTAATGATATATTATTCTCCGTATATTGGATGGATAAAAACCCACAAAGGCCAGATTTTATCACTTGTTGAAAAGCAGATGTTTCGTACCTCTTACCTCTTCCAAGCGGACTATGACATAGTTCTGTAAGCTTTGTATTTAAATTTCGAGGTATTTGTAGAGACGTGTATCTGAATCGAAATACCTTAATTGATAGAAATGTGCAATATTGTTGAGTGCCAATAGTTACTTTTGTTTAATTCAAGATCGATATGTTATATTGTGATACTTTTTAGGAATTTCTTCCTACATATGTTGGTATATACATGTACAGATTGTTTTTCTGTATTTTGCACATATTTGTATTGAGTCTACAGTTACTTTTTTCCTGACGTCTCGAAATGTCTACAAAGGACGTTTATTAATGTTCCGTATGTCAATTAAATTATGCAGATCGAAATCTCACAGATATATTTTTTTTGTTATCAATGATATTATGACATATTTGACATTACAAATCTAAATTATTTATAGTTTTTCTTTTACAAATATTAAAGTTATTACAAAATCATGATCTTGTATATACATTGTAACTAACTCTCACTCCCACACAGGCAACATTTATTCTCATAAAATTCACATAATTTTCATGTGAAACTTTTCGTTGGGAAAAGACGGGAAGGAAAAATTCATGGGATTATGAAATTATTTGAAATGATTTTCGCTTTAAAATATCACGCAATTACAGAAAAATTCACATGAAAGTTTAAGAAAAATCACGTGATCATATATAACAATGTTTACATGATACTTGCATAAAAAAATACAATTTTCTACAGTTAATTTTCAACTATAAAAGAAAGTAATTTGACTATCATGAAAACCAAATTTTCCTGATAAAACAAATGAAATCTAAGAAACATAAATCCTGAAGTGAAAAAATAATACAGTATGCATTACATTTATAATGAGTGAAGAAAATTTTATTCACAATCAATAAAGCCTCATTCCTATATTATTGACTTTTATAGGTCATAGTTATAAATCGGCAACAAATGATTATATAGAGCATATCGAAGTTGGCACATGGATTTGTTTAGTAATGTAAAAAATATAAATGAAAACGTTTTACCACCTTCTCATCGCTTAAGTAAATGGTTTTAGATGTATAAAATAACTTCAAATTTCAGAACAGTTTTTTAAGTAAATTTTAGAACCTGAGTCTTCTACCAAAATTTAGACTTTTTCATTTCAAATTCAATATATTGTCCTGAACAAATGTGAAGTGAAAAATTATATTTATTTTTTTAACATTTTATTATTCAACCTTTTCACTATTTCTATAATACATGTATGATTATAAATGATTAATTATCTTTTTACACGTACGAGTACATTACATTTTCTATATAATATCATTATACTATGACATTTTAACATTTGATTATTTAACCTTTTCTCTATTTCTATATGATTATACATATATTAATTAACTAATTGCTGATATGTCCAGACAGCTGCAAATGCATACACGTGTACTGGAGAACTGTTCCTTGTATTTACTGGTGATAATGTAATATATTACTGATGTAAGGTAGATAATTCAGATAATCATCACCATTGTCTAAATAGGCTACATTGTTAGTATTAATATCATATATATCTATATGTGTTTCATATTGTCGTACATATATGTTGTTGCGACATGTCTAGTCCTCGTGTTTGCTAACAAATCATGCTCATAGCATTTATATTATTTTTATGTCCCCAGTTGTAACCATTGGCGTCGGAAGCAAATTGAAAGTGTGGGGGGGGTAAGTATAAATGAAAATTTTGTACCTTCAAAAAAACCTGACAAGCAAATAAAAAAAAGGGAAATGTCCATTCCCCAAACACAAGAATCCGATTTCGTGGTGGGGGGTGGGGGGGGGGGTTGGATTGATCTTCAATACCAAAAAATTTCCAAACACCACTACTTTCCCTGTTCCTTTAACCTATACTAAGACGTACCTGTGAAAAGGGGGGAGCTTAACATACGAGGATATGTTCAATGTCTATACTATATATGTCTATACTATATGTCTATACTATATGTCTATACTATATATATATATATATATATATATATATATATATATATATATATATATATATATATATATATATATATATACATTACCTAACGGGGGCTTTAAAACTTGCTCTGACAGAAGATGTCTTCTTTGTAAGCACAGCACCGACATGGACAGTTTTGACAGCCCTGTTACAGGCCGCAGCTACAAAATACTAGGGAATTTGTCCTGTCATACTGACAACTGCATTTATCTCATCAGTTGCAAAGTTTGCTCCAAACAGTATATTGGTGAAACAGGAGATCTCCGCAGAAGAGTCAATAACCACCGTTCGACCATTAGGACCAAAAAACTCAATGAACCTGTTGGGGAACATTTCAACCCTGAGGGTCACAAATGGGAAGACATGACAGTAGTGGTGATTGACCATAACCCAAGATGGACAGACGCTCAGAGAAAAAGCAAGGAAAAGTTCTAGATGCACAGACTGAAGTCATTCCGCCCTAATGGCATTAACAAACTGAATGACTTCACCAGAATGAACGTAAACTAGACCCAATTCCTGAAGATACTAAACAGGATTATTCTCTCAATTTAGTGCTAACTCTACATTAATTTGCGTCACCAACTCTCGAACAACCCACATAACTATGAATTGTTTACGCCTTTGTTAATTATTTTTTCCCGATAATAAGTCCTAAATAATTTAGAAATTTATAATAGATCATAATTCATATTTTTAAAATATCCCTGCTTTTTTTCTTTTTTTTTTTTGATTATTCTTTATCATGTATAGTTACACCATATTGAGAGAATGAAACAATGTACGATTTACTGATTGTCGTAATTAATTAGCATAATTAATTCGTTCAATTATGTAAATCGCACTTCACCCGAGTATACCCGATAGACCGGACGTATTTCATAGCGGTCTGGATTTATTTCTTAAATTTCTTTAAAGTCCTATAATATTTCAAAATTTATAATAGATCATAATTCATATTTTAAAATATCCCTGCTGTATTATTTTTCTTTGATTATTCTTTATCAAGTATAGTTACGCCATATTGAGAGAACGAAACAATGTACGATTTACTGATTGTTGTAATTAATTAGCATAATTAATTCGTTCAATTATGTAAATCGCACTTCACCCGAGCATACCCGGACGTATTTCTTAGCGGTCCGGATTTCTTTCTTGAATTATAGTGTTTTTAAAAAAATTTCCAATTCAACTTGCAACTAAGTTTGTAAATATATAGTGTTTAGTAGTTTAGTAGTAGTGCTAGCTGCTTTTGTTTTTCTTTTTCCTTTGTTTTTATGACCTTTTAACTTTTTTCTTTGTCCTGAGGAAGGGACAGGGCGTCCCGAAAATTTGACAATTTTTATTGTTCGTGTCGTTGGTCATTTTAGTGCTTTTAATTTCCATCCGTGACCTTGTATCTACTTGGTGGATCCGACATTTAGGATATACAGTGTTGTTGGTTTTTTAGTGCTTTATATATCCTTTTTCGCCAACTGTATCTTCACAGATCCACCCGTATATCCATCATTTCTTTAGCTATATTTTCTGTTCTTTTCATTTATTTTTGGTTATATCTTTCGTCATTTTACGTTTTTTACTATTTAGTTTTTTTTCCAACCTTTGCTAATTAGTTCTTACCACTTTTCCCTTTCGAGTTTTACTCATGTACCATTCGTTTTTTTAAATTTTTGAATTCTTGCACGAGTTATCTACGAAATACGTTATAGTACAGAACAATCGTTCGTTGAATCTTCCGACTTCATACGACAAAAAACTTAAAAGTATTGTTATCATTTTGGCCATTATATTTTCCTTCAAATATGTCTTTTAAAGATAATTCAACATTCAAACTTCTAAAGAAAGAACACCAAAAATCTATAAAAACTGAACACCAGGTCTCCAATTTACAGACCTATTTAGAGTGTGACATTATACCGAAAGGCTTTCAGATAAATGTTACACCTAACATAGGGCCAATCTCCAAACGCTTCCAGGAACGCTGGGACGTTATTACAAGGAGATGTTCTAAACAATTGATGTCACTTTGTCTTTCTTGGGATATCCACAAGTTAGGACAATTGAAGAGTGAGATCAAGTCTTTAGAATCATCCCTCAACGATATCATGTCCCAGGCCGATCTTAACGAAGCCCATAATATTATAGACACCTATAATATGGCCCTAACCAACAAAGTCAACAAGACTCAAAAAAAGAAATTTCTCCGCGACAGTGTTCCACAGTCTAGGAACAACTGGTCAGAGGTCAGAGTTAACAAAACACGTAAACCCCGCTCGAGACGCTTCAAGCGCATTAAGACAATCGCGAGGGACGGACCCATACAAACTCCTGACGTCTGCCCAGTGCTCAATACATCTAGTGCTCCTCTCTCCGAATCGGAGACCTCACTTCTCTCAAAGGGGCTAAATTTCTGCCCCACGCCACATGAGGTCGACGAAAAACAAGTCAGAGAGGACACCCGAGCATTCTTCCGGAGACTTCGTTTGAAGGAGCACTTCTCTAGAAAAGACTCCGAAGCAAATTCATACGACTCTTCCAAGCCAGATTTACACGACCTAGAGGAACACAAACTCTATAAGCCCAAGAGTGCCTGGGAACCTACACCGGGCAAGTGCGGCGCGCTTGAGTCGTATATTGACGCCGTTGAGTTAGACATAGAGAAGCTCCTTTCAATACCAGACAAAACTCCCGACAATTTGAGTAAGGAGGAGAGATCTGCCTTACAATCATTAAAAAATCGGGATGACATTGTAATTAAGAAAGCAGACAAAGGCTCTACAGTTGTAGTAATGGATAAAGAGACTTACATGGCGGAGGCCCAACGACAACTCTCAGACGAACGTTTCTATAAGAAACTGGACTCTGACCCTACTAAAGAATTCTCCACCGCCATTACCAAAACTCTTGACGATATGTTTGAGAAAAATGAGATTGGTATCAACATCTATGAGACCTTAAATCCTATTGACTGTAGACCAGGACAATTCTATCTGCTTCCTAAAATACACAAAGAAGGCATGCCAGGTCGCCCCATAGTCAGCGCAATTGGACACCCCACGGAGAAAATTTCTGAATTCATTGATTTACATCTCCGTCCACACGTAGAAAGTTTGCCATCCTATCTTAAGGACACCACGGACTACCTTAACAAGACGCCCTCTACTGGCCTCCCAGATCATAC